ATTCGATAAGCACCGACAATATTGATGATATTTCCATTTGTTTTCACCAGACTGCTGACTGCTGAGTGCTGGCGCGTTATTTTGGTGAAAGCTAAAAAGCATTCCCTCCGAATTTTGAACGCCCCCGCCAACACATGAGCAGGCGCACAAGACTCAATTATTCAAATCGCCCCGCGATTCCTTCGCTCCGTATTCCCCAACACATCGTCCCCGTCCGTTTTTTTCTTTCTTTCTCCTCATCTAATCGTCCCCGTCATCAATCCCCTTCTTTTCTATTCCACAGCCCCCAGCCAATCACTTTCTTCCAAGAGCTCCTATATACTTCCTCTATCCCTCTGTTCAGCTCATCGCTCGCTCGCATATTTTTCTCGCTATCCCTTCCGATCAGTTCGGTAGTTCTTATTTCTAGTTTGCTGCTTTGTAACTATGGCGAAGGCGGAGAAGAAGCCGGCGGAGAAGGCTCCCGCGGAGAAGACCAAGGCCGAGAAGAAGATCCCCAAGGAATCTGCTTCGTCTGACAAGAAGAAGAAGAAGAAGGCGAAGAGCGTTGAGACTTACAAGATTTACATCTTTAAGGTGTTGAAGCAGGTGCATCCTGATATTGGGATCTCGAGCAAAGCCATGGGGATCATGAACAGTTTTATTAACGATATCTTCGAGAAGCTTGCGCAGGAGGCTTCTAGACTGGCTCGCTACAACAAGAAGCCCACCATCACCTCACGGGAGATTCAGACGGCTGTCAGGCTTGTGCTGCCCGGCGAGTTGGCCAAGCATGCCGTATCTGAGGGGACCAAGGCCGTCACTAAGTTTACCAGCTCTTAGAATTGTTAAAAGGGCCTTGACTTGGCAATCTTTGAATTAGGCATTTCACATTGTAAAGGGTTTGAAAAATTTTAGTCCGTTCTCTGTACTGGAAGCTCATCGTTAAAGCTTTAATGGGAAAAAAATTGCTTTTGTTTTCAGTGCTCTGCAAAGTGTCATGTTATAGCATTTCAAATTTGATTTGGCATCGCTAGATGGTTTTCCGGTTTCCCCCTGTTTTTCCCCATAGTTGATTCGTTTTCGTAATGAGATGGATAAATTGGGTCCATGTAGGTTGAGGTTTCTCGGGCGTTTTTTGTCGGCCGATCAAAACTGCTTCTAACTCGTTAAGCTGGGAACATAGGGGTGATTTCAAGAGAGTGGTACAATTATTCTTTCGCTAAAACTTGAGTCCCACAAATGGTTCAAAAGGGGTGGAAACAATAGAGCACCACTTGATGTGCTTACGAATCTGGTTTTTTACATCAATAACCTAATCCGTGCCTTGTCTGTAGTTTGAGATGCTGGCTAAGAGCATTCAGTTTTGGGTTCGAATTTGAATCTGTGGGGTTTGAGTAGTCAGATTTTGGTTTTTCTGTGTTTCTTGAGGTGGAACATGGTGGCTCTCCAGAGTCAGATTTCGGTATGGTTGAGTAATGTGTGCCAAGCATATGAAAGGCTGAATTCTCTTATTAGGCTAGCTTGTCCAGTTTTGCTGATGTCGGTGGAGGAGCAGATTGTTGATGTCGCATTGGAGTGATCTCTTACAGGATTAGTTAGACCAAGTGTTTTGGCAACTTTTTTCTACTGTGGCTCTAAAACAGCGTTGAACTGTTGGGGTTTCAGCTGCTGAAGTTTTGTAATTGTTAAGCGGAATACGCTTGAGTCCTGTGTAGGTTCAATTGAGGGGAACGTTAGCAACTTAGCATTCTGTTTGTATATGTATGGCCTGAATGACGCAATGGAATGCCTGGGAAAGGAGACGTAAAGGGGCGTGAGCGTAAGATTTCAAGGATTTAGTTTCCATTTACCATGGGCCACAGCGCAGACCATTGGGTTAATGAGATGGGCATTTGAGAACTGAGGATGAGTTGAGAGGGGAAAGGAAACAAGATAGGCTTCTCCTTACATGTCCGCCCAATAACATGAAATGGAATGCACAGGACCAACATGGACACAACATCAATCATCATCATGACAACAAAATTGTAGCTCTACCATTGCAATGCATCATTCATCAATTAAATTAAGTCATTTAAGTCCCACAATCTAAATGCGTGGGAAGAACATAAATTTTGCAGCAAGATTTGAAGGGTTTTTGGTGGTCATGAAAACATTTTAAAAAAATATCTTATGTAAATTGAGAATTTGAGATAAAACTATCATATATTTTTCTGGTGACCATTTGAAGGGCCAAGAGGAAAACGCGTTTCATTATATATATATATATATATATAAACATATATATTCGTCGTTGCTTACATTCTCAACTTTAACTCTTCATCATTTTTGTCCCACATATCAGTTTCATTCTCTTGTCTATTTTTTTTTCACTCTATTATACAAACACTTTCCTAGTTTATGGGTCAGTTGTACTATAAATCTAACATTTTCAAGTTTAAAATGATCCCATTAGATATTTTTATTATGGACATCTTACTGTTAACTTATCATTTTTTTTTTAACAGAATTTGTCATATCAGATTAACATAAGACACTTGCGTCTTACATGGCATCCTATCTAATATAATTATTTTATAATATTATATCATTTTTATATAGGGATTAAAATGTCATCTTATCATTAAAAAAAAACTCTTTCTTCTCATTTTTATTCTTATATTTTTTGTCAATAAAAATTTTTGAATAACGTTTTTTCCTCTATTATTTGCCACACAAAAATTACTATTTTATCAATAAACAATTGCGAAAACCTTAATAAATTTATTAAGATTGTGAAATAAGATCATAACATTGTAAAAATCTTACTGTGAAAGAATGAGCTTTTTGATAAGCATTAAATTGGGGGATGAAGCATTAATTTAAGGGGACTTTAGTATTAAATATCGGGAAAGTTATGTGTAACTAGCTTAAAGTTTAAGAGAGTTTTATAAAATTAACTTAAATAGGATGCCATGTGGGATACAAGATGTTTTATATTAATCTAACATAACAAATTCTATTAAAAAGATATCAGCGAGTTAACAATTGGGGGTCCATAATAAAAAAGTATAAGATGAAGGGGGTTGAATTTAAACTTTGAAATATTAGAGGGGTTATATGCAACCATCTCAAAGTTCAGAGAAGTTTTATATAATTTAGGTTTTTTTTAATTAAAAGACAATTTTATTATTCCAACTAAATAAAAAGTTATATATATATATATATATTATACTTTTATCTAATCAAGCTAGAACAACTAGATTTTAAAGCATTAGAAGCATTGATAGCAAGAGTTTGTTATGGAACAAATGACACATAAAAGAATTCACATGTCTTGATGTGACTGGAAATAAGTACATTAATTTTGCGCCCTATTCACATAATCCTATCAATAACTTAGGATGCTGATGCCCCCATATCCCAACTTTGAACTGGAAAAGTTCATAAATAATCAATTATTGAAAGAAGACATTCACAAATATACAATGCGAACGCATCCATTCGCATTCGTGCAACATCGTGGGCTCTTCAATTCCTCCACCGCAACCTATCATTGTTGACCTACTAGAGTTACTCCTTTAAGTACGATCAAGCCTTCCCGCCCCCCTCAAAAGAATGTTCAATCTCCGAAATTAGGAGAATTTACGCCTTATACTTTATTTATTATTTAATTTAAGAATTCCGAAATTAAAAATGAATGAATAAGCTGCTCCTCTGATCCTTAATATAAGACTCAATTCTTGAGTAGATTTTGGTCTAAATATAAGACTCATTTATCATATTTATCAATTTTCTCTAAATTACCTCTATGGATACTCCCTCAGCCATAATCAAGTAGAAAAGGAAGAGGGGATATTAAGAAAAATGATTATGGTGTTTTAGGAAAAATGTGTCACTTTTCTTATAATTAACTAACTTACCTAACTTTCTTAATCTAATCAAATTTGTTAAATGGGTTTTATATTAAAGACCGGAGGAGTATTTCGTATTAAGTATAACAAAAGGGGCTACACCCAATATTATTTAAATCTCATGGCACATGATTTCAATCATAAGAATGAAACGAAAAATGGAGTAAATAAAGGCCGAAAATAATATACTTCTCTAGTTCTAAATATAAGACCGATTTTATAGTATAATTTATACTATAAAATAAGTTTTATATTTAGGACCGGAAAAGTAATTTTTTTTTTTTTAAAAGTAAAAGTTGAGACTCAAAGGACACATGTGAATACAATTTTTGAAAAAGCTGAGTAAAATTGCAGGGACTAAGACGTATATTTGAAAGAAGTGAAAATTCAAGGTGATGGGTAGGAAATGATGAATAGGAAATTGTAGTTGAAATTTGGATGATGAAGGATAGATAGATGAGAGAGGAGGGAGAGATGGAATATGAATGGCTTGCTGGGGATGGAGGTTTGTGGGAAAGGGCGGACTATGGTGTTGGATGATTGGAAGGAGACAATTAGGAACGCAGATGCATGTGAATGAGAGATTAATTGAGGAACATATTTGATGGATCGCACAAATAGTTTGTCTCCACATGAATGGACACTTGCCTCTTTCCCCTCATCTCTTCATGCCTCCCTTTTATTTCTCCCATACATATTACATATCTCATCATTCTACCTAATTTCCCCTTCATGTGCCCCTCGCTACTGATGTCACTTAATTTCCTTCCTTCGTTAATTCGCCTCATCATTTACTCCTTCCATTACCACTGTTCACTTTTATTTATACTGCCCCAACCTTTTCCCTTCATCATTCATACTTCAATTCCAAGCGAGCTACTTCCATCATCATCATCATGCTCTATATATTTCGCTATTTTACTAATGCACCCCCTTTATCCCCCCCCCCCAACAAAACCTTCAATATCTAATTTTATACAGGGAGTGTTGACATGAAGGATGCCGATCTATTAACAAAGTCCAGTATGTTTTGCTCATACTCTTGTCAACATTTGATGGAGGAGATTTATTTTGTAAGCGAGCATTAAAAGTATATATGAAGAATCAGTTTGACGACATATATAAAGATAACATGTGACTAGTCAAATAACTAAAAATCATTGATTCTATATATAAGATCAATCATTATTGCCTCTCACTTATTCTCTGGGTCGTGATAGGTTTGCATTTGCACGAATACTATATATTGTTGAATTAAGGAATATGTGAGATAGATGAATTAATGCGAATGGAAAGGATTAATAATACTAATAATATCCAGGCGTATATTCTCGTACGTACTCCAACCGTGTATTACCCGAACGACAGTTTAATCTAGCTATAGCAAGAGCATACTACATATTGATATACTACTACTGCGGTTCTTAATATAAGAGTTAGTTTAAAAGTAATTTTTGTAATAGTTTGCACATGTTAAATATTCTATCAAATGGTAATTTTAGGTAATATGTACACATGATTAGTTAGAGTATTCTAAGAAAAATAACACATATTTATTATAAATAATTAACTTAATTAATTTTATTAATTTCTCTAAATTAGTCATCAACTAGGTGGTATGTCTTATTAACATTTTTTTTTGGTGGGGGGCCTGGGGTGGTGGAGGGGGACAGCAGGTATAGACGCACGTGGAGGGTACTAGGGAAGAACATTCCTTGCCCATTCTGAATGCAAATACATATATAGGAGAATACTATATATACATATATTTCTCGATTTGTTCACTTTTATTTAATTCAAAGTATATATGTACATACATATATACACACACATAAGTGCGCACGCGTTACTCTATGGGTGCTTGGTCCAACAGACACACACGACAGTAACAATGTTTGAACTTTAGTCAATGCCATACTACCTCACCCACCTAAACTTGAATTATTAATTAATCAAATCAAAAACCACCCCTCCCATACATATTCCCTTCTCTACCTAACCCCTTCCAAAAATAATCCCACATTTCATTATTATATATATATATATGTTTTTCATCTCATTAATTTTACTTCCCTCAAATTCGATCGAAAATAAATCTGTGTGACTCCATGTGCCATTAGCTATTACTTTTAAACTTCCCTGGCAATTTTGAGATTCTGTAGTTTATAAGTCATAGAAACTGATGGAAATCGACATGCGGAACACACACACACACACACACAGTTTCATCGTTGGCGCCAAGTCCACATGGATAAAGAACGTTTGAAATACAAGATATAAATAAGGGAATAAAATACAAATTTTAAAGATAGATATGCGTTTTATTTCAAGAAGGAACAATAAAAATATAATAAATATTATTGAAAAAAACTTTTTTTTTTTTTTTTTAATGTGAGACCTGAATATATAGGTCAGATTGGAACGCTGTTAGGGTCAATGGTAAGTCTAAGGAAGAAAGGGAATAAGATATTTGTGTTGTGCTGGGGAAATGAGAGGGTGGGGAGAGGCGGAAATTCCAAAAAGGAGGAACGTTGGAGAAAGGAGAGTGAGACAAGGCCCTGATTTGGCTCCTCTTCCTCTCTGCTGGCTCCTTCCCCACCCTACCACCACACCTATTGTATTCTTTTTAACTTCATTTTACATATTTTTCATTTCTATTATCCCCCCCCCCCCCCCCAACCCATCATCATCCATACTTAATATCCACTTACCGGCTATTTTCTCAGACGTGTCCACCTCCTAACCAAATATCTGTGCAAAATTATTTTGAGATATCACCAGTCTTGTACTCTAAACTCGCTCAGCCGATGGCCACTTATTTTCAGGCAACTGCATGTCCTTTTTTCTCTCCACATTATCAAATATTGTACTCAAAGTGTGAAATAACTACAAAAAAATATTCCTCCGGTTTTTAATATAAGACTTATTTAACTAATTTGATTAAATTAAGAAAGTTAGGTAAGTTAGTTAATTATAAGAAATATGACATGTTTTTTTCTAAAATATCATAATCATTTTTTTAATATCATTCTTCCCTTACTTACTTGATTATGGTTGAGGGAGTATTTATAAGAATAATTTAGAAAAAATTGATAAATATAAGATATAGGTCTTATATTTAAAACAAAATTAATTTAATAATTAGGTCCTATATTAAAGATCGGAAGAGTAATTGCTTTGATGGGGACACAATTTAATAATAATAATAATGACATTTTCGCATCAAAGGACTAATTATTTTTGTTTTGCTATCCTCTTATTGGAGTTATTATTCTATCACAGAATCTATTTACTGAGGCGAGAAGCTTGAAATTCAAAGAGGCTTCAATGAAAAAAATAAAAATAACAATCACAACAAGAACCTGCATTATTTCGTGAGGCCAAAAATAGATTACATGAAACCCTGTTTATTAACCAAAAGAAAGATGACAAAACAAAGAAAAAATTTATAATTCATAGTAGAAAATATAAAAAAGAACACTGAAGTATTATATATTGGATGAATGGGAGCTTGAAACAATTTGTGCTGGGAGGGCAGTCTTGGTGGGGAAAGAAATTAGCGGTGTGGTGAATCGGGGGAGGGGATTACGACTGGCCCCAACTATATTGGTGACACATGGCGAGCAAATAATAGATATTCAGCTAAAAGCAGGGAAATCAAGTTTAATGGCCATCCCATTACGTGTTAGGAACTCATACGCCCTCCCTCCGCCTCTTCTCTCTTCCCTCCCATTCTGCAAAATATAATAAAATTGTAAATCTCTATCTTCTCTCTCTCCCCTTTCTTCCCCTTCCTCATTTGTCTCGTATAAATTCTCGCATCGTCGCGTTTCTCATTTCTCCTCTCTTTCTCACTTACTGCGTCTTTCACAATCTTAACATTTCCCCATTCTGAACAACCACACGATAGGGTTTGTTTCACTTTGCCTGTTTAAGGTACGTCTTCTTCTTTGGCACTCCCTCCTGCCCTAGCTTCGCCACTTAATTTGTACATTGTCTCTTTTTCTTGTTCATGATCCCAATTGTATTTTAATTCAGTGCGTTATCTTCATATCGTTTTTTATCTGTCTCAATTTTGGTTTTATTTGTTGGATTTTGACTCTTGTAATTTATCAGGTGCGGGTATGTGTGCGACTTTCAATTTTAATTTAATTGAACCAACCCGTTTTTTTCTCCCCCACTTTCCCATGAGTCTGTCGCTCAGATTGTGGTTCCCCTTTTTCTTTTTCTTTTTTCTCTTCCTTTTCGGTTTCCGAGAGATTGAAATGGTGGTTTAGCTGCCCTCTTCTTTGTGTTTGTTTAGATTTTAGGCTTCTCAAATGGTGGTTTAGGGTGTGCTTGTAACGGGGGATTGACAGAGGAATATAAATTGGGTTTTGAGGGTGGTGGTGAGGGTAAATATTTGGGCGAAGATGGCAGATTTTCAACCGCTACAACAGAAGCCTGAATCCACTGATGCCCATACTGACTTTGAACGTGGGCTGGAGGACTTTATGCGGGGCCACTTGGATGATTGCATGTCCTTTGCTTCATGTAGTTCTGCCCGGACTCAGGATGGGGAGGATGATGAGGGTGATCAGCTAGCTAGGAGGAGGAGAAGATCTGATCTTGAGGGGGATGATTTAGCAGAGTCATCAGCTGCACGCCGGCGCCACTCACGGATTTTGAGCAGATGGGCTGCCCACCAGGCCCAAGAGATGATAACTACAATTGAGAGAAGGAATCGGGAGTCTGAGTTGATGGCACTTGCTGGGTTGCACACAGTCTCAATGTTGGACTCCTCTTTTTTGAGGGGATCACAGACTCCAACTTCTGGCCAGGAGGGGGCTGTAGAGAGGCCCAACACTCAGGCTTCTGCAATTCTTCAGATGTGGCGTGAATTGGAGGATGAACACTTGCTTAGTCGGGCGCATGAAAGGATGAGGGAAAGGCTGCGTCAACAAAGGATTGCTGATTCTAATGCCAACGGATCAAGTACCATTTCAGATAGTCGGGGAAGTGAGAATCAGGGGAGTTTGGTGGATGCAAGTGAAAGTGAAAATGATTATGGTACTTGGTCGCATGATCAGATTCAATCAAGGCATGAAAATGGCGACCATAATGGGTCTAGCAGGGAGCAATCTCCTGATCTTGGTGAGGTTGAGAGGGAGAGAGTTAGGCAGATTGTGCGGGGATGGATGGAAAGTGGCATCAGTGATCATTCATCTGATGCAAGTCAAAGAAACAATAATCGCAGAGCAGAGTGGCTTGGTGAAACAGAGCGTGAAAGGGTGAGAATTGTCAGGGAGTGGGTGCAAATGACAAGTCAACAGCGAGGTTCTCGTGGGAGCCGGAGGGATAGTCAACCCACTGAAAGTGGCTCTCGAGTTGAGAGAGTCCGTGATGGATTGTTAACTGATCATGATGATGGCCAGCCAGAGCATGTACGCAGAGATTTGTTGAGGTTGCGTGGACGACAAGCTTTGGTTGATTTGCTTGTGAGGGTTGAAAGGGAAAGACAAAGAGAGCTGCAGGGTTTGTTGGAGCACCGTGCTGTTTCTGATTTTGCTCATCGTAACCGCATTCAGGTCTGTTGGATTTTCTCTTAGAGTTGAAATTAACTTCCTTGCAATGTCTTTGCATGGTTGGAATCATGACGTAGAAGAATTGAAAAATATAGCATGAGCCTCTTGCAATCAGCATTTCTATTCAGATGGCCATATATGAAACTGTTTTGAAATGTGCAGTGATTCTCTTGATACTGAATATTCTGCTGATGTTTGCTTTCGGTTCTGATATATCTGCTCTGAATATTTTCCTTGCTTGGCCCCTTGATATAGTTAAAATTGTCACTGGTTCTGTTATTAACAGAGGATGCTGAACAGAAATGATAGAATATGGATCAGTGCTCCTGCCCTCTGTAACATATTGGTTTGGAAATCACTATACATAGCTTCTTAAACTTGACTGAGATTGTAGGATTATGTACGGGTGTCTATTATATTTCTGCATATATTGTGATTTTCACATCCACACAAATTATTGTTGCTGATAATTTCCTTTTTAATTTATTTATTCTTTTGATTCTTAGAATGTCAAATTGAATTTATTGTAGATCTACTTTCATCATCATGTGAACCATAATTAATATTTTTGTTGTCATTTTGATATTTTGTTATTTGTTTCAATTAATTTCTCTGTAAAAACATAGTAAATCATGTGACTGCAATGAAATGTTTGGCTTAGCGCTTTTTTATTATATTATATTTTTAAAAATTTTAAATTATATAACCTCAAACTTCTGCTTCTGCTTGTTGTAACTTGACTATTGATACATAAATACTTTTCCAGTCATTACTCAGAGGTAGATTCCTCCGAAATGAAAGAACTATAGAAGACGAGAGACCTCCTTCTGTGGCAGCAAATGAATTAGTTCAGTTAAGACAACGTCACACAGTCTCTGGTTTAAGGTGTGCATCCAAGACTTGAGGACATTCTTTTCTTCTTAAAATTAGGATTTAATTTCTTCTTCCTTTTCCTTTTAGAATATGGTACCATTTGGTCCTTTTATTTATTTATTTATTTTTTCTGGGTCGGCCTTCTCTTTTGCCAATTTAGGTGGCCTCTCGTCGGTGTCTCAGTGATTCAGATTTTATTTCAGAAAGTTGAAATTTGCTTGATGTTCTATCGTTTAAGTTTGTAACTTCACTTCTTTTGATTCTTATCAAGTATCAACTGAATAACATTTTTTAGATACCTCCGGGAGTGATTATGGGAGCATTTCTATATGATTTCTATTTACCCTGATCCGTTAAGCCTTTACTTGAACGCAGTAGTACTTTGGGTCATGCCCATAAGTTTCATCAATAAGCAGTGACATTTGCATATTTATGTTTTGCAATTCAACAAGACTTGAGATGTGTACCTAGTCTGCTCACTTGGTGTGTTTCTTTTTCCTTTTTAAAATTCAGTTCAATTTGGTGTCATCTGAATATATCAAGAAGTTTCCTTTTTAACATGTTGCCGCATCTCTGGTATCTATCTATGGTAAATTTGTTCACAGAAAAAGAAAAAGGAATAATCTTGAAGATTATTTTTGAGGCAAAAGTTGCATGTGTTATGATTCTTAGTGATGCTCTTTCTTTGACAATTCAGAGAAGGGTTTCGCTCAAGATTAGAAAATATTGTTCGTGGTCAAGCTAGCAGCAATTCTGATGCCATGTCTAATAGTAATAGCAGCGAAACCAGAAGTGATGTGAACCAAGAAAACAATTCAACAGATGCCCAGCACGAAATTTATGAACAAGGGCAGGTTAGGAGCCTGGAAACTGATGTGCAGCAGTTGGCTGATCAAACAGGAGCTTTCGAAAGTAGCACTAGTGAGAGTATGAGTTGGCAAGAAACTAGTAATCAAGGGGGAAACTGGCAGGAACAAGTTACTGAAGATGGTCGTAGAAATTGGCCACGGAGAGCTTATGGTCCGTTGAATCAATTAAGAGATGGAAGGGCTGCAAGTGATTGGCGGCATGATTCTCCAATAAATGTTGAAGGGGAAGATGCTCATCCACGAGAAGCTCGGGGAATTTGGCATCAGGATAATTCAAGGGAAGCTGCTGGTAATTGGTCTGAAGAGCCCTCTGGTCCTCCAAGGAATCGACGTGGTGTTCCTTTTAGGAGATTCAATAGGTTTCATCCACCAGAGGATGATAATGTATATAGCATGGAGCTTAGAGAACTTTTGAGCAGGTAATTCTTTCTTTTGTTTCAGAGAAGGCTTTATATAAACAGTCTTTCAAACCTTAGTTTGATATTTGATCTACTGGCTTATGTTTCTTGAAGGAAGCAGGGTTATAGTTGATGCATTTTTGCCTTTTTCAGGAGAAGTGTTTCCAATCTTCTTCGCAGTGGTTTCCGTGAAAGTCTGGACCAATTAATCCAGTCATACGTGGAAAGGCAAAACCGTGCACCTATTGACTGGGATTTGCACAGAAACTTGCCAACACCAGCTCCTGCCTCACCTGACGGGGATCCTGAACAACAGGCAGATGAACGAAATGGGGCTCAACATGATGCTATTAATAGGCCTTCTCTAGTGTTGCCATCTCCGCCAGTTCCTCCACCTCAACCGCTTTGGCACCAGGACTTGCATCAGACTGGATGGTCTCGCCATAGCATGCATCGGTCTGAAATTGTGAGTCTACTTACGTTGGCCTTGTTTTCTCCCTTCTTTCTTCAACTTAGCTTTTAAAAGATCACTGCATGTTTACTGAAATTTGTTTCCTCTTGAATGTCTATGTGGAAAAGGAAAGTGCATTGCTTTTCTTTTTATTTGAAATCATTGATAGTTACTAGTGAGTTTTTTCTGGGAACAAGAAAGCAATTAGAAGTTGGTTGAGATATTAACCTGGGCTCTTCTTCTTCTTTTTTTGCCCTGGGTAGATAATCAATCTGGGCTCTCAATCCTACTCCTTCTGTTTATTAAGATATTGTAAATTTAGTCTGTACCTATAAATGCCTTCATACTACGTAAGTATTGAACTTGGTGCTCAAGCAAGGTTATGGGTATTGATACTGATTGGTTTTCGGGGTAGGAATGGGAGATAATCAATGATTTGAGATCAGATATGGCAAGACTTCAGCAAGGCATGAATCACATGCAGAGGATGTTGGAGGCTTGCATGGATATGCAGCTGGAGTTACAACGCTCTGTCAGACAGGAAGTGTCTGCAGCGCTGAATCGTTCAGCGGGTGAAAGTGGTATGATTCTTTCCATACATTTTTTAGGACCTTATTTAATTTTTTTCCCCTTTTTGGTTGCGGTAGAATTCCTTTCTTCAATTTTTTGGGTCCATATTTAATTCCCCCCCGTTCTTCGTTGTGGGTCTTGTGTTTTGGAGGAAAGAACCTACTTTCATTATAGATGATGAAGTTATATTGGTTACATTTCCTTTAACAGCTATTTATTTGTGTTTATTCTTTACCTCGAGTTATTGATATGATATTAATTCGACCTTGCAGGAATGGGCGCCGAGACATCTGAAGATGGGTCTAAATGGGGCCATGTAAAAAAAGGAACTTGTTGTGTTTGTTGTGATAGCCATATTGATTCGCTTTTGTACAGGTATTGTATGCATGATGCATTCTTACTTTTTAGTGAATACAAAAACCCAAACTCAGTTTTTTCTTTTTGTAATTTATTTTAGTGGGATGTAATCTCTATTCTATTTGTGACCGTAAGATGCAATGGTCTGATATCCTTTACCTTGCAGATGTGGTCACATGTGCACTTGTTCAAAATGTGCCAATGAATTAGTTCGTGGTGGAGGAAAGTGCCCTTTATGCCGAGCACCTATTGTGGAGGTGATCCGAGCATATTCCATTGTGTAAAGAGGAAGTTCAAAGGGCACGGGAAAGAGAAACGTAAAATTGATAAGGTGGTAGGATCTGAGGGAGTAAATCTTGATTCTTAAACCCTCAGGTTCTTATCTGTAGAGTGTTCAGTAGCTGTCTGTTTTTCTTATTATACATTGAACACTGTGAATTGTATAATTGGATTAACGATGGCGCTGCTGATTCATCATTCTTGCGTAAATAAATAGTCGGCCTCCATATTCTTTCCTATATTTAATTATTTTTTTCCCTATGTATTGTGATATTTTTATTTTATTGGCCTAGGGATATTTTTATTTTTAAGTATTAAATTTTAATCATTAAATCGTAAAAGTATTTTTTTAAAGAAGTGCGATAAATCATCTATATATTAATTACAAATAATCAGCTCAGGACAAGAATGGAGGAGTTTGGCAAAAAGAGAAGAGAGAGAGAGAGAGAGAAGAGGAGTGATGTTGGACAACAAAAGAGGTGATCAACATTTGATGAAAAAATAAAGTGAAAAAGGAGTAAGGGGTGAAAAAAATAAAATACTACGCCATTTCAGCTCAACGGAGGGGCAGTGGAGGAATGGCCCAGTGAAGAGTGAGGAGAAGTTGATCTTGTTTTTCTCATTGTTATTCTATTGGAACAACAGATCACCGGAGAAGTTGGACGTTGTTTTTTCAGATATAAATTACTATCTTCCCAATTCTTAATATGAGTTTTTTTTTAATTTTGATTTTAAATATAAGATTCTAATTCATTTTGTTTTTTTATATTTATTATTTTTTTTAAGATAGTTCTTATAATAATGATAGTTCTAGCCAATATATTTGATTAGTAAGGATATTTTAGAAAAAATAACAAATATTTATTATAAATAACTAACTTAACTAATTTTTTTATCCTACTCAAATTAATTCACTAGCTTTTATATTAAATATAGGAAAAAGAGGTAGTAGTTGCTTTGTATTATAGCTTTTATAAGGTAGCTTTCTTATTTTGTGATTTGGACTTCCCTGACAGAAATTCTCACCCATATCTAGAGAACCACATCATCTATGCTTCGGCTAACTAACTCTCATATTTTAATCCTAACTGGCATTTACTTAATTTACGTTATTATTATTTTAATAAGATTTCAGTTTCAATAATTTCGTTTCCCCCTGTCTGCTCATCTCTTGTTCCTCCTTCGTCTATCGAGCAAATGTTCCTCAACCCTCTCTCATGCCTTCATTCCCTTACTTCACAAAGAAGACGGAGGGAGATAAATCAAGACTGAACTAAAAGTTAGTCGTCGCCCTCGCTGTCGGTGACGCGTAGCACTGGCAGTTTTTCCAATGCGGTTGAACGAAAACTTCTTCCTGTCCAAAATTGAAAACCAAATTCCACACCTTTTCTCAGATTATGGATGATTCATCATGAAAAACTTAGATAATCTAGTCTCCTACAACGGTGATCTCGTACGGGTCATCAACGTCTTGACCCGTTGTCCAAACAGTCAAGTTCCCATTCTTCCTCCTGCAGCGATGACGAAGTGGATTAGGAAGTTATTAGTAGTTTATGGCATTCTTCCATCGATTGGGTTTATTATGTGATGGTGTTGTTCAGTCAGATCATATGATTGATTCAACAGTCGTTGCAATTGGATTTTGGATGAAAAAAATGTTGTGCTCCGTATGCCTGCAAAATGCTCGCCATAATGCAGGAAATGGACACAAGCACAGAACTTTCAAATGGTTTTTGGAAAAACTTTAACCGTGGAGCTGCTGAGAAAATGTGGAGTAAAATTTAGAAGTTAAAAGTGCATAATAGATATAAATTTTCATATGGCTAGCTGCACAAGATAGATTCGCGGCTAATTCTGAAGGGCAAGTCGAGAATTGGCTCTTGATGATAATAGATGCGGCTTTGGAGGTGGTGAGGGAGGGGCACTTAAATCCCAGAACTGGTGCTTGCTGGTATCGAATTGTAGGGGAAGCAGGTAGTCTCAACTCGCCGGTGGAATAACGTAAGAGCATCCATATTATTGGATTTTCCAAGAGGCAAGACGACTTGACTCGCACGTGTTTTGTTGGCTGGGAGAGCTTTATAGTGGACTTGGATTTTTCAATTTATTATTCAGTATCCAGTTAATGCAAATATAATTCTGTTGTTAGAAGACTAATTGGGCGGACGTAATTGATTTTGCAGTTTGACTTTGGATAACTACTTTGACTTTTGACAACCATTGACTGTAACCTGTGCCAGACTGCAAGGGATGAAGCTTTATTATGCTGATTGTGTTGCTCTGTTTTCAAAACCACAGCAACAGTTTGTATGTGATTTTTTTTTTTTTTACCGCAGAAGAACAGCCTAAAAACTAAAACCAAGGGGAAAAAAAGAAAAAGAAAAAAGAACTTACTTCTTTCTGCCCTCGTCTGTGAGTCTTAACGCAACGGGAAAAGCCCAGGCAGGAGCACTAGGTATTTATTACTCCGCACAGGCTGCCACATCGAAGCCATCGGATCACGCATCCTTCAAAAACCACCTTATTCTGCCATTTCCGAATTCCACTTCTCCCTCCGGATTCAGGTCTTTTTTTAATTTCTCGTTATATTTTGATTTATCAAATTACATTTTGACCCAAATAGTGTATTTTAATCGGACAATTTTACCTGTTCTTGTTATTACTATTCCAGCGTTTCGAGCGCGAGTGAGTTTTCCTTATATCTTACTGAGAAGCTATTTGAAATAAGATTCACTCGGGATTGATTCGTTACGGAGCAAGCACCCAAAAGCCTGCTTCGTTGAATGCTGTGACTGGGTCACTATTGATATCTTTCGAAGATTCGAAGATGGGCCAAACAATGAGTGCTGACGCTGCTCCTGCTGCTGCTGTCAAAGATGAAACTACCAAGTCAAACTCCACTTCCTTGGAAACTGCCATTGCGGGTTCTTTCCTTTTCCTTTCTAACTTTGTATCGTAATGTGCTATGCTCGATTGCCAAATTCAGATTATTCACTAGCTCGTCAAAGTTTATTGGCTTCGCGTGTTTGTCAAAATGCCTAGTTGAAGTTGTGGGCTCTCAGCTTTTGCACTTTCTAATTTTCCAGCCTCCTTACCCATTGTTGATTCATAACCACTAGTGTAATGTTTTCTCTCTAATTACAGTTCACGGACAATTTCACATATTGTCTATAAAGCACCGTTTTTATCCCCGCAAAAACAAAGTTTTATGCTGTTCATGTATGACACTTGTATCAAATAAGATATGATATTTCATATTGCATTTCGTACTAATTATCCTTTGGCATTGCAGTGCCGGTATCGCTTCAGATCCTTTTTCTGTGTGAGCCGGCCTGTTGCCGAGCTAAAACGTCAACTTTGACACGAATATACATGATATGATAAGAATAAGAATAGTACAGAATAATGAGATATATAGTCTTCATAAGAAGTTTGAAATGTTGTGTTGTATTGGTTTGAATTTGAGTATAAAGATCCATATCTGAGAGTGTTGTTTCTGAGATCAATGCTTTATAGCTGCCAGGCAATACCTCCTCATCAGTGTTCAGTTCTTAGCTTCTATCCCTATTGAAAGATGAACCATTTTGATTACTGTTGCCTTGACCGGCAGTTGGCACAACTGGCAATTGCTATTGCTGATTCACTGTCATGGTGTCATCCTGTTATTAAATGCTGCCAAAAACCTGAATAGTTGAAATCTATGTTCAAGTAAGAATCAGTAATTATTCACGCAGACAAAATTCCTTTGGGGAATACGTTAAATTAGAGTTTATTGTAATAAATAGTTTTGAATGCGAGTCAAATACAGTCTCTCCTTTCTCTTTAATTTCTTTGTACCATAACAAATTAGCATGCTGTGAATCAGTATCGTTGTTTCATCTTGGCACTAAATTTGTAGATGATTGGAACTGTGATGGGTGATTACCTGTTTTCATTAATTACAGATGCTGTAGCTTATGGAAATGAAGGGACAGAGGTTGGTTCATTCCTAACATGTGAGTTTACGTGCTTCCAACATGCAATTTGAGTTAATGAAATTGAATTTTTCTAATTTCAGTCTGTTGAGGTAAAAGCTAAGAAAGCTTTGGAATGCCCTTGCATAGCTGACTTACGAAGTGGTCCATGTGGAAACCAGTTTTCAGAGGCGTTCCTTTGTTTTCTCAAGAGCACTGCTGAGGAGAAGGTACCTGGAAATGGGTGATTAGCAACTTGGCACCTAGGGCAATAATTCTCCTATTTAGTCAATGGATTTATTCTGAGAAATAGCTGTTCTTATTCATGTATTATTCATGAAATGAGAAGCAGGGAGCAGTGGGATGGTCTTTGTCTTTCAATTTGATTTTAAGTGAGCGTTACAGTTGCTTGTAGTTTTGATTACCTTGCAGTAGAGATGGACGATATTTCAGGAGGCATTTGGTATCTTGCCATATTTTCATTTTGATCTGATATCGTGGATTAAAGTTGTCATCTGTGATTTCTGTATTTGTTAATTTGATATTCAAGATGATGGATATCGTCCAACATGTTATAGTTTCATTTGATCACACCATTTAAGGGGTTACGCAATCATTTCATGCCACTCAAAAGGTCACCAAAATAAGCTTCTCATCCTCTCATATCTCGTCTTTAAGGGCTCAATTGACATTTATGAAATACCAACTGCATTCTTTTTGTGACAGTTCCTATTGTCATGCTAGACATGGACATTTTTGTACGCCATAATATCTTGTATATTGGTGTCCCACATCATGACATTGATTTTCATGCTACCATAGGATGTTAGGTAGCAATTTGTCAAATGCTTCCCGGGTATGACTGTCCATGACCCGTATCCTTTCACATTTCTCATTTTCTATGAACCAAAAATGTCATCAATAATCACAAAGATTCCCAGTTATACCTTTTTTGCATGGAGTACTATTTTTGGTTTATCATTATATCATATTGGTTGACACAAATCATACTGTTTCGGGAGTTCAGAGTTCTAATGGTGGTATGCTTTAAACTACATGTGCCAACCAATTAAGTAGCTTTGAAATGCTCGTTCTTCCTTTATATTTTCTTCATTATAATTTAGTGCTGAATTATGCTGTTTTCTCTCATGTCTTAGGGATCAGACTGTGTACATCCATTTGTTGCTCTCCAGAACTGCATCAAAGCCAATCCAAATGCTTTCCCCGAAGACATTCTAAACGAAGGTGAAGTTGAAGAGACGGAACCAGCCCAAGAATACAAGATAATCCCTCCCACATGGTCTAGAGAATCTCGAAACCCCAAACCCAAGCTTTAAAGGAAGAGTCCAGTTCTTTTGCCATTCAAACAGCTGTGGACCGAGTTCTTGCCGAATTTTTTTGGATCTTGCTTAGTTAATACTACCTCTAGTCCTATTTATAAGATCTCATTTGTAGATTACAAACAAAGTCTTATAATTAGGATCAGAGGTAGTAATTAGGATAGCTAAACCGATGAAAGGGTTATTTTAACAAAATTTAGAGGGTGTGCAATTTAGACTAAAGGTGACAAAATAACGGTTTGAACTTAAAAGGTGAAGAGATTCCGGTATAGAGAAGAGCAAAGATAGCGTGTGGAATTGATTTACAACAGTGTTAGGAGTTCATGGTGTGTTGGGAAGCGATATTCATAATAATGTAGAGCGGATGATGGATTATTATTTGAGTCCACATATGATGGACTGGTGAATTACTGAATTCGTATGGAAAAGTACTCGCAGGTGATGCGACATACGGCTGCACAGCAGCGAAGTAGTCACAGACATGCAATTACTTTCATGGCCAAGACCAAGACATCTGAGAAGTAACTGTGTTGACACCACAAGCATCACGAAGTTAATATAGATACAGCATCATTCGTGGTAGAGTGAATTATGTGGTGCTTTGTTTTACGTAGACCTGTTCGCGTATGATTGCATTCGCACCATTATTTACCAGTCAATATAATCCTTTACATGCACGCACGTCTTGGGGCCGTTCGGTTTGCTGCAATTGGACTTCAGAAAAGCAAAGCACCGCTTACCCTCCAACCTCGCAACTCTGGGCACCATAAGCACAAGTTAGCAATGCGTTAAAGATGACTCACTCGAGTCCCATAAGGAACACACCCCTGCAATTAAGTGGTTTTTTTAACTCACCTGTTCCAGGATTTTTCAAGTCAGGCATGTACATGAAATTGTGGTAATGAGAGCAAACGTGGTAAGCTACTGTGACTCAATGTTTAGCCCCACTTTTTTTTTTTTTTTTAATGATGGCATACCATGCCATATATAATTAACGTGTGAATACTGTGATTTGGGAATTTTAAACTTTTAAATTTAAATTTATAATATGACATAAGAGAATTAATAAGAAATTATAAAATGTATGAATTATTCTGACCAACAGGGATGAGATTTAAGGCCAGTCATAGTTGATTGATTTTGATCAAAGTATGTGCACGCAAGTTGGAGAAAGAAACGCACCAAGAAGCAAAGCGCACATCATGCAGAAAGAAACGCACCAACACACTGTTGATCTCGTTATAAAATGCTCCACACGCCCCCTTCAACCAACATTACCAGTTATAAGGTTCAATCTGGTGAGGCCATCCACAATTAATTAACACCCTTTGATTTGGTATGTACCTACTTTCATCTGTTAGGAGCTAGGGCTTTTCCCCTCATCGTTTAATTTGTTCACTCGTCATTCACTTTGAGATTTTTCAACAATTCGTCTGAGACTCTGCTTAATCATGTTGTCTTTTTATTTTTATTATTCTGTAATATTTTGCATGTGCCTTCCCCTTTAGATCTCCCTCGGGCATCCGTTGAACTTCCACCAAAGCTTGATCATGGCAGTTCCAGATTATTCTGCTGAATCCTCAATTTTATTGTTCTTTGGGAAGAATAATCCCACTAAACACATGTAATATGGGAGTAAATATGATTTTTTAAATAATTTTACTGGATTTATTTCTTTGATTTTCGTTAAAAATGGTTATAATAACTGAGATGAACTTAAAATTCTTTTACATACATTCACCCTACAAGAAAGGGAAAAACAAGGAAATACAAGTTACATGTATTCAGCGACATCATCAATATAACCGTATGTCAACGCAAATATAGAATTCTCATGCAATCAAGGTAAGAATGTGATTTCAATCAATTTTCTATTTCCTCGTGCAATTATATAATGAAATTGTCATAAAACAATTTTTGTCACTCATACTCTTGGAGAAGCATTCACTCCCCCGGGAAAGAGTTCAATGCGTCATGTGGCAAGTCGAAAGTGTGATTGGCTTGGCCAGGTTCATGTCAATTAATTAGTTTTGCCTAGAGAGAACATGTAATTTTCTGTGATCAAAATATGTCTACCTTCAAGGCCGTTAATTAGTTTTCGAAGAAACAAATACAGAGTCATTATTCTAGTGGGGTGACAGGCACTACTGCTTTATTTACTTTGCATACAAATGAGAAAAATGTTCAAAAAGAAAGAGAAAACAGACCAAAACGAAGACGCACTAATGAGCATTCCTATGCCTATCATCATCCAATATCTTGTATTCCAAAGCCAGATCATTTGAATGCTCTAAAAAATCGATCATTGTTCTTCACACGATCTGCCTCAATTATCAAAGTGTGAGTTTGCTTTCAAAATCCTTACACAGACTAACTTTGTGTTTTCAGAACACCATAAAGCAAATTAAGTTTATCAATGGCTAGCTTCACTGAGAAGGAAGAGGCTCTAGTCAAAAGCTCTTGGGAAGATTTGACAAAAAACTTTTCCCACCACAGTATTCGTTTCTACGCCCTGTAATTGTCTATTGCGATATATAACCTCATTTTTTTTTATTTTACCTTCCTCTTCAACTCCATTTCATTTAATTTGCTAATGTATTAAATGTCTTTCCTCGTTTCTTATTTTTTTTGGTTCAACTGAATAGGTTGTTGGAGATTTTACCCGCGGCAAAAGACATGTTTCCTTTCCTGAAGGACGCAAATGAAGTTCCCAAAAATAACCCGCAGCTAGAGGCCCAGGCCATGAAGGTTTTTAAGCTGGTAAGTTTATAAAAGTACTACAGAAACTAACATAGAAATGTTTCCTTTAATGAAAAGAATGGATCCCTTCCTGTGCTTCTTACTTGTAATTTAATTTTTATCCTCTCTTGTTTGTCCCACTTGTATTACAAGACTATCTCGAAGGTTTTAAAACAAAGACATACATACTACAATTAATGTGTAAATACTATGATTTGTGGATTTTTAGACTTTTGAATCAGCCATTCAACTACGAGAGAAAGGAGATATTGTGATAGAAGATGCTACATTGAAGCAGATGAGTTCTGTGCATGTTCAAAAAGGAGTTATTGATTCTCATTTCGAGGTGATGCAAAGTAATTAGAACTAGTAATATGCTCTTAATAAATATGTATAATTAAAACTTGGTCATCTAATTTTTTTTCTTCGTGATGAGCTAGTGATGAAGTGAAGCTGATTTTTGATTTGTAGGCGCTGAGGGAGGCAATGCTAAAAACAATAAAAGAAGGAGTGGGAGCGAAGTGGAACGAGGAGCTGGGCAATGCATGGGCCAAAGCATATGATGTGCTGTCAGCTAAAATCAAGAAGGGAATGAAAAATGCTTAGTGTATTAGGTGATGATGAAGGTTCGATCAGAGAATAATCTGCTTTTGGAAGCTTACTGTAAACCGAGTTTTTTTTAAAAAAATTTTATGGATGCAATGGAAAAAGAATAAATATGGGATTTTATTATTTGAATCACTTGACAATATTGCGCTTCAGCTTTAGAAAGTTATGGTATAACTTGCCTCTGCTTGAAATAGTATTGCGTGAACATTTTTATCGATTTTCCTTAAGGCAATAAGAGGATAAATTTATGTGATGCTGAATTGTCGTAAATTCAAGAATAAGACCGTATGCTGACGTGGACATACATTTCTCTGGCCATAGCCGGTTGAGTACAGCATTATCCAACTCGAGTCTAAGAATCACATGCAAATGAAATGCAAAGAACCTAATCCAATGTGTGTGTTATTCTACTTACAAAGAAAGAAGGCATTTTTTAGTCATATATTTTTTTATATGAATGTATGATTTTATTTTTCATTTAATATTGTGTTGACTTTGTTTATATAAGGGATTTTAAATAAGAAAAAAGTTAAAAAATTGTTGAATTTTAAACGAAAGTTCATAAAATTTAAGTTTTTAGTTTATTAGTATAAAACATATTAAAAGTGACTTGTAAATAAGATAAGAAGAGTAACACACAAGAGTTAGACAAAAGAGGCCATTAATTATTAAGAGAGGCTAATTAAGCAGTTACAAAGCGACCTCATCTCAATCTCATCCTACTTGAATACGACGCGTTTTCCCAGTCACAATTTCCAACCCCCGGCCTCTTCAATTGAAACCCGGCAGTCCTTGACTCTTTATTTCCCATTCTCCTTTTCGGGCCATTCCCAAAATCACCACAATTTTTTTTTAAAAATCACAAAAAAGATCTTGGAATTTGAAAAACGTAGATAAGGATTCGTGACAACTTCATTATGAGTTTTGACAACTTCATAGCATATTATTATTATCAAAAATTGTAATAAAGTTGTCATTGGTCTCTATCTGTATTTTTTAAATTTCAGAGTTTTTAATTGTGATTTTTTCAATTTTCTTTCCTCCCAAACGTTGGGTAGGGAAAAATTTATTGTAATATGACTAATTTAGGTAGACTAACAAAACTAATTAAATTAATTATTTGTAATAAATAGGTGTTGTGTTTTCTAAAATATTCTTACTAATCAAGTGTATTGGCTAAAACTAGTATTATTATAAGAAATATCTTCAAAAAATAAATGAATACAAAAAAAATTAAAATATTATATTTAAAATTAAAACAGAAGTCAAACAGACTTTATCAAGAAGCCGGGGGTAGTAATAATTTTTTCGGCCAATGCGTATCGTAGTACCGTAGGTAGTATATCCCCCAAACAGATGACATGGTATTTCGAGAATATGAGCCAAGGTAGAATGTAACTTTGAATTGGCCAACAAAAAAAAAAAACAAAAACGTTCTTTTGAAAGTACTACTTCCGGTCCTTAATATGAGACCTTATTTATCTTCTCTCTCCACGTGAGAGCTTTTCTCTCTCCCTGTGAGAGTTAGTTACGGCAGTTTTTCTTCTTGCCGCCTTTCAGTGAGATCTCCGCCGCCCACTGCGACGGAGTTAAAAGAGAGTCGAGTAGCTCGTTCATTGCGACTTCTCGACAAAGTGAGGATTGGTGATTGGAGTGTCGGAGGTAGAAAATATGGAGGAAGATACGCAGAAGAAGATGTTTGACGGACGAAACGAGAACCAGAATGAAGGTCTGGAAGCGAAGCTGGTTTGGAAGAATAAGAATCAGAGGAAGTTGTTCGGTGGAGCATTAGTTGGAAAATTAATGTCTATGAAGAATATGAATAAAACGACGGTTTTATAGATGATTCGCAAAGGATGGAATCTCACGAAGAATGAAGATCTGGAGATTACTGATGTGGATCAAAATGCGTTCATATTTGAATTCCGTCGAGCGGAGGACCGTATGAGGATTCTGAAAGGAAGACCATGGTCTATACAAGGTCAGTTGCTTAATATTCAAATATGGAAGGATTTTATGACCTTTAGTGAAGTAGATTTCCATAGTTGCCCGTTTTGGATCCAATTTCATGATCTGCCAGAGGAGGCTATGGATATTGAGAATGTGAGGATACTCGGTTCAATGGTTGGTAATGTGGTGATGATCGAAGATCCGAGAAGAGGTAATCTGTTGACCAGAAGCTTCCTAAGGGCAAGGGTGGTGGTGGACCTGAGAAAACCACTGATCACTGGAATATGGACACCGAGACCTGACATGGACCCGGTGTGGATCAAGATTAAGTATGAGAGACTGCAACAATTCTGTTTCTGGTGTGGTCGGATAGGTCATGATCAGAAACATTGTCCTTACCACTCTGATGAGGAGGAGGATGTATCTAGAAGGTTTGGCACCTGGCTAAGCAGTCCAGCTGCTAGAATGATTACAGAGCAGACTATTTGTGAGACAATGGGGTGGGAGGAGTTTGAAATATCTGCTAATAGACCTGCTCTAACTGAGAGAAGTATAATAGTTGAAAAAGAGAAGTGTTCAAAGATGAAGAATCAGGAAGGGGAAAGCAGAAACTTAGAAGTGAAGAAGAATAAGGTCACGGTCCCAATTAATGTTGAAACTAGCAGGGAAATTGAAAAGCTGATTAAACCAAGCATCTCCGAGATTGATGCAAGACTGGATCAAGAGACTGAAGTAAATAAAGGAGGAAGTGAAGTACAGAAACTAAACAGCATGAAGGGAGAAGAAGGAGGGCAGAAGGCTGAGGAAAATAATTTTGACATCACTAAAGCAATAGTGGTTTATGGAGCTGCGTCTCCAATCTCTGATGTCATGGATAGTTTAAAGAGAATAAGATTGAAGAGAGGAATGGAGTTTGAAGAAGAAGAGGGAGTCATTAAAAGGAGGAAACTATCATTTCCTGATGAACCTCTTGAATGTACACAGATGCCTCAAGAGGAGAGGGTAGTAAAAGAAGGAAGGAGGAGCGTTGGAGCTATTAAGAGACAGATGCGAAGAAGTGGAAATAGAAGAAATTCACTGATAAAGGGTGGTGGCAGAAGTAGAGAGAAGAAAGGAGAAGACAGGATGGTGTTGGAGGAGTTGAGTATGAATGATGCTGAAGGTCCTGGTGGCTGGCCTCAAACAGCCACCAAGGATCAATGAAGCTAATTTCCTGGAACTGTCAGGGTTTGGGAAGAGCCTTGACAGTCAAAAAATTGAGGGAGGAAGTTCTGAAGAGTAGACCCTCATTAATCTTCCTAATGGAAACAAAAATAAAAAGTGAAAAGATGAAAAGAATTCAAGAACAATGTCAGATGGATGAGGCTTTTTTTGTGGAGCCAAGAGGTAGAAGTGGAGGAATGGCAATTTTATGGATTAAAGACTTGGTGGTGAATGTGTGGCACAATTCACCAAACATAATTCATGTTTCAGTGGTCTCAAACACGGTAAAGGTTCCTAAATATATTACCTTCGTCTATGGATCTCCTACAGATGAAGGGAAGATGCTGGTGTGGAACAAATTGAGAAGCATAGCAGAGGGAATTGAGGGTGCTTGGTTCTGCGTGGGTGATTTTAATGATGTTTTGTCAAATGAAGAGAAGATGGGCAGACTACCAGTTGATATGAGAAGGGTGCTTAATTTTCAGAGTATGATGGCCGATTGCCAGTTGATTGATCTGGGATTTCAGGGTCCTAAATTCACATGGTGTAATAGGAGGCTGGGGGTAAATCATGTGAAGGAAAGGATTGACAGAGCCATGGCCAATACTGAATTTTGTGATGAATTTGGAAATGTGGTGGTTTCTCATATAGAACCATTAGGATCTGATCATCATTTGCTGGTAGTTGACTTTGAATTTAAACACTCAAAAGTACAAAGAATGTTTAAATTTGAAGCTGTTTGGGCTGAACATGAGCAGTTTATTTCGGTAGTTGAAAATAGCTGGAAGAAAGAAGTGTATGAAAGTAGAAATAAGGTGCAAGAGCTGGTCAAAAGGCTATTGAAATGTAGGAGGGCTTTAATAAGGTGGGGCAAGGAGAACTTCCCAAATGCACGAAAATTAGTGGAAGAGCTGACCTGCTAGCTGGAAGTATGTAATAGTGGGGCCTTAACAGAGGATAGCAGAAGAGAAGCAGAAGTTTTAATTAAAAAGATAGAAGAAGCGTGGGAAAGGGAGGAAAAATATTGGTGGCAGAGATCAAGAGTAAACTGGTTATCAAGTGGTGACAAAAACACCAAATTCTTCCACTTAAGCACTATGAGAAGAAGGGCCAGGAACAAAGTTGTTAGACTGAAAAATGACAGTGGCAGATGGATAGAGGAAGAAAGCGAAATTAATGGGGCCTTCACAGAATTTTACAAGAACTTATTCACATCGGGAGGGAATAGAAATATGGAGGTAGCCCTTCAGTTTGTAGAAAAGAAAGTGACTATGGAAGATAATTTGCTGCTTGAAAGAGAAGTTACAGTGGAGGAAATCAAATTAGCAGCTTTTCAACTAAATGGCTCTAAAGCACCTGGGCCTGATGGTTTTTCTGGTATTTTCTACCATGCAGCCTGGAATGTGGTTAATGAGGAGGTAGTTTTGATGGTAAAAGATTTCTTTCAGAATAATACTAGTTTGAACTTGGTAAATAAAACCAATATTGTTCTGATTCCAAAGGTGGAGAATGCTGAATCTGTGGGGCAATTCAGGCCTATTGGACTTTGTAATTTTGCCTATAAGATTGTATCCAAGGTCCTAGCAAACAGAATGAAAATGTTGCTATCTAGAATCATATCTGAGCATCAAAGGGCGTTTGTAACTGGCAGACTGATTCAAGATAACATCTTGATTGCTCATGAAGCCTTTCACTATCTGAAGAATAAGAAGAAGGGGAAGAGGGTGGATATGGCCATCAAAATAGATATGAACAAAGCCTATGACAGGTTAGAATGGAAGTTTGTAGAAGAAGTGATGAGAAGACTCGGGTTTGGGGAGAAGTGGATTACCTGGGTTATGGAATGTGTGACTTCAGCTAGTTTGAGTCTGCTCGTAGGAGGAAGGAAGGTGGCTGATATAAACATGGAGAGAGGTATTAGACAAGGGGACCCGTTGTCTCCTTATCTCTTTATCCTGGCTGCTGAAGCTCTTTCGGTGATGACACAGTGGTTTGTGGAGAGGAGTCGTTTAAAAGGTATTAAACTAGCTGCAAGTTGCCCAATTCTATCTCACTGCTTTTTTGCAGATGATGCTCTTTTCTTCATTAATGCAGAGAAGAGAAACTGTAGGTTGTTAAAGAGCATACTGGATTGTTACTGTGAAGCATCAGGTCAGGTGGTGAATTTTGATAAATCCTGTGTTTTTTTCTCAAAGAACGCCAGTGATAGCTTGAAAAAAGAAATATATGATGTTCTGGGGATAAAGGCAAGCGAGAACCCAGGGAAGTATCTGGGACTACCACTGATTTGGGGGAAATCTAAAGCTGAAGCTCTTAATTTTGTGAAATGCAAGATGAGTTTAAGATTGCAGGGTTGGAAACAAAAGCTTTTAACTTTTGCGGGAAGAGAAGTGCTGGTTAAGTCAGTGGCGAATGCAATACCTGTGTTTTCAATGTCTTGCTTCAAATTCCCTCGAAAATGTTGTGTTGAGCTGGACAGTATGGTTTCTAAGTTCTGGTGGGGCCAGAAGGAACAGGAGGGGAGAATCCATTGGAAGTCTTGGAAAAGTTTGTGCAAAGCTAAAGGAGAAGGGGGTATGGGATTCAGAGAGCTAGAAGCCTTTAACTTAGCTCTGCTAGCAAAAACAGCATGGAGAATGGTGCAACAACCAGATGCTCTTTGGGTAAAAATGTTGAAGGGCATATATTTCCCTAATGGATGCTTTTTGGAAGCAAAGAAAGGAAATAAAGCATCCTGGGGGTGGTCGAGTGTTTTAAATGGAAGGGACCTGATAAGGAAGGACCTATGCTGGAAAGTGGGGAATGGTGAGAAGATCTCTATTTTTAATGATCAATGGATTCCTACTGCAGACTCTTTGAAATTGAAAAGTAGGAATTTGAATGATAATTCAAGAAATCTCAAGGTAAGTAGTTTGATTAAAGAAGGAAAGTGGTATTTTGATGAGACACAAGATGCACTTGATGATGAAGACAAAGAACTCATTATGCAGGTCAAAATTCCATCAATAAGCAGCAATGACAAAAGGGTGTGGCTAAAAAGCAGAAGCGGTGAATACATGGTAAAACTAGGCTATAAGATTGCTCTGAACATAATGAGGGATAATGCTACTGATAAGCCTAGTTCTTCTTATAAACCCTCTAAGAACCTGTGGAGCGGGATCTGGAACATTAAATTACCTCCTAAGGTGCTGCATTTTATGTGGAGGGCTGTGAATGGGGCTTTGGCAACTAAGGAAGCGTTATTCAGGAAGAAATGTTCAGTGACCCCGATATGTGAGATCTGCAGAACACATGTGGAAACTGTTGAGCACATGCTATTTCAGTGTCCATGGGCAAAAGTCTGCTGGTTTGGCTCCCCTTTGTCACTGAAGTTTGATGATAAGGGAAACTTTCGGTTTGACAAATGGTTGGAAGAATGGTTGGACAGTAAAATGGGTAAGGATAAACAAAATTTAGCAATTTTTGCAGGAATCTGCTAGTGGATCTGGAAATCTAGATGCAAGGCAATTTTTGAAGGAGAAGATGTTGATGCCTTGAATTGTGTGGCAAAAGCAATGAGATTAGTTAGAGATTTCCAGAATGCAACTGAAAGGGAGGGAAGGAAGGAAGGGGGCAGGAAGGGATGTGATAGAAACCAGGAGTGGTTGAGACCAGCAGCTAACACGATCAAAATTAACATGGATGGGGCTTTCAAGCATGACTCTAAGGAAGCAGCAATTGGTGTGGTATGCAGAAATGAGAAAGGAGAGTTTATTGGAGGCTTAGGGAAGAAGGTGGAGTCGAGTTCACCATTTATGTCTGAATGCTTAGCTCTTCTATCTGCTTTAGAAGTTGCTGAAATAAAAAACTGGGTTCATGTGGTCTTTGAGATGGATTGCCAGGAGTTGTATGGTCTAATGCAGAGGAAGGATGGGAAAGGAGGAGAGTGGTGCTGTTCAGAGGTGGTGCAGAAATGCATTGATAGTCTTTCGGGTAAGTCTTCATGGAATCTTTCCCTGGTTGACAGAAAAGGAAACAAGGCTGCTGATCTAATTGCAGCTGAGGCATTGAGGGGCATGGTACCTTCGGGATGGCTTTCAAAGCCACCATCCTCTCTGTTGGCTGTTTTGACTAATGATGTGAGCTCCTGTGGCCTGGTGTGTAGGGACCGTACTGGTATTGGCTAAGTGTCCTCTATTTTTAGTTTCTCAGTAAGTCAGTTTATTTTCTGTTTGGTCTTCTTTCTTTGGTAAGGTTTGTGTGTTAGGTTGTATTATAGGCTTTTGAGTGTTTGCTTTTCCAGCCTTTGGGCTATTGGTGTTTGTACCTTTCTTTTGGTTATTAATAAAATTGACTTGTTTTGCTCAAAAAAAAAAATATGAGACCTTATTTGACTTTTATTTTGATTCTAAATATAAGACCTCAATCCAATTTGTCTCTCATATTCATGCATTTTTTTCTCAAAATAATCCTTCTAACAATGGTAGTTTTAGCCCATACAATTTATTAGTAAGGATATTTTAGGAAAGACATCACCTATTTGTTACAAATAATTAACTTAACTTCTTTCTTTTATTTCCTCAAATTAGTCAATTAACTTTTATAATTAGAACAAATTAATTATATATTTTATAATTAATACAATTGATTAGTAATAATTTTATGTTCAATTAATAAATGGTTAAATGTACTTATCTATATATTCAGTTCATAACATGGATTGAGTGCATGCCACCTTAGTTTATATATTTAATTTGTTCAATGAACCGAACCTATGGCATCATAAGAAGAACTTAAACGAGAAATAATATCACCAAGCGAGATATACTTGGGAGTTTGTACATATTTATAACTTTAATTTAAAAATATTTTCCAGCTATAAAATCGTTGAAAATTTTTTAATATCAGGAATTAACGAAGATTCACATAGGCGCTTTGTATCCTGAGAGGTGGGGATCATTAAATTTTTTTTTTGGTAGTCTTAAATCTTAATTAATTTAGTGTAATTTTTACTCTACAAC